AGACCAATTGTTTAAGTTAGCTTTTACCCTAAGTTGGCTTGTAATGGGTAATTGTTAAAAAGCCCATTAGGTTAGTGTGCTATTTTATTATAAATAGGATGCTAGTTTCTCAATCTTGGAATAAGGAAAAATAGGAAGATAAAATCCTAATTTCAAGGAAGAGAGGTTATTTTGTTATTCTTGTATAGTTGTAATCTTGTTTAAAGAGAAAGGAAAGAATAGCAGTTTTTTTTTTTTTAATATAATATATATATTAATTATATATATATATATATATATATATATATATATATATATATATATATATATATATATATATATATATTATATATATATATATATATTATATATATATATATATATATATATATATATATATATATATATATTATATATATATATATATATATATATATATATATATATATATATTATATAATATATATATATATATATATATATATATATAATATATTATATATATATATATATATATATATATATATATATATATATTATTATTTAGAATAAGTTTTTTTAGTTTACGAATTAAGTAAAATGCTAATTTAATATTTAGATTAGATAAAATTTAAAGGATATGATTTAGAATAAATTAAAAATAAATTTATGTTAAAAAGTTCTAAATATTTGTAAATAAAATTTAAAATTTGAGCCAACATTGCCTTAATTATTGAGACTATTTTGATATTTCAAAACACTAAAAGATAAAAAAGAAATCTAAATATAAGAAAACTTGTCAAAAATAAAAATAAAATTTTTTAAACTATAGAAAAGATATGCAAATTTGTACAAAGTCTCGTAGAGATATGTCTTTAAAATATATTATAAAAACATATTTATCAAATAGATTTTTTATTTTCTATTTTCTTAAACAGTTTTTAAATTGAACTCACCGATTTTTTTTCTTTTTAAAAACAATTGTTAAAAAATTGGTTTTAAAAATTAAAAATAAAACTAATTCTCCAAGTGGAGACCTCTTCAAACTATTAAAATAATTAAAATTGCATGTCAAAACAATTAAAATTGTTGACCAATGATCAAAGGTGCCTTATAGGATTTTCAATAAAGTACACAATAGATACATCAAGTTGTAACAATACAATACAATATTTCATAAAGTAGTTGGAGCATCATTTGGAGACTTCTTTATTTTGAGAGCATACAAATTATGAATCATATTTTCATTTCATAACATGTCTAGTTTTGTATAAATTATGTGTCCTTGAATGAACCTATATTTGTTATAGATTGGTTGTTAATTCTATTCAAAGACACGGTTATGACAAGTAGGGTTACAAGGATAAGAACAATCTATCTGTTGAAAACCTTTTCTCTCATAATACCAATCTCCCACAGCCTTTGCTATTGTCTGCACATTGTTAATAATAACTTGAGTTAGAAGACACTAATAATAAATAAACTTTTTCTATCGCGATTTTCGTTGGAAGTTCAACATTTTTTGCAGTGAAAAGTACAAGTAAAAAAATGCAGTGTCTTACTGTATTGGCAAGGAGTGGAGAGTCATTTCTCATCCATGTTTCCTGTATTCCAGTTTGGCAGTGGGAATAGCAACCGTCGATAAACATTCCTTTAGATGGAGAATTACTAACCACGCTAATTGCCTTTAAGAATTCTGTCCTGAAACCTGAAAAACAATTCATTCATGTATTATGTTCGATACTTCTATATTTATCAGTTCAATATGCATATCGTGCTACGAAGCACACACACAAACATCTGATATGATACTGACACTGGTAATAAGGTTAAGTAGAAGCTTGGAAAATTGGAAATTTATCGAGTTTATAGGAATCAACAAGTTTAAGTGCAAGACAAGTCATGATCATAGAATGTTCACCTTGCATTGTGGTTAATTGATTAGGAGAGCAATCTTTTATATCAAGCTTGCAGCTACGCCAAGTGCCGTGGGGATCAGCAACGCCGGGTGCCAAAATATTCTTAATCTGAAACAAAGCAACAAGTTCAGAAGCCAGAGAAAAGATAGTGTCGAATTATCTTGGCGAATTCTAGTGTTATTTGACAATTAAAATACACCCACCGGTTGATCAAAGAACACAATCTTAGTTACGAAGATTCAAATAATACTAATAGACTCGAAAAGAACACCATTCCAAAAATAAATTGATGTTTCTTGAGAAAGCGAATTCTTACCTGCCATGAGTCATAGGCTGCATTTACAAAGAAGATTGGTGTTGTGATTTGTGCGACCACGTTTTGTGGGAAAAAACACTACAAAAATAGTTCTGAAGTATTAGCAACACCGACAAAGTTGTGATGGTTGTTCGTTTACAATTCACAAACTTACCAGCCCTGGCGGAAGTCTTGAAGTGCAAGATGAAGGCAAATTCTTTGCTGCAGCCTAAAATAAATAAGAAAATGCAAATAATGGAAACTTTTTAGTCACGGCAAAAGGAGTTTTGAGTAAGAGGTTTATGACGAGAAAGAAAGAATGAGTACATGTGTTTGAACAACTTGGCTGTAGAATTGTTCGATGTGTTGTGCTCCAGAGACGGCCTTTCTGTTGTAAAACAATAAAGTACCAAATCATTAAATTACTTTAGAAAAGAATTCGAAAAAAATCAATTAACTATAAATCACACTTATAAACGCATTTTCAACACATCCACTTAGTTCTTACGCTCAGGACTAAACATGTGGACCATGACCGGATATCTCGTATAGTAGAACCGTTCAAGGTTCAGTTCATTAAGAAAACCCAAACTGAATTGTAACAATAGTTCGGTAAAACTGAATCCACAATATGCAACTTACGCATTGATAAAATAACCAGCATCTGAGACACATTTAACTTTAGCTGCTGCAGGAAGTAAAGTTCTAAACCGATCACATTGTAAAATAGAAGTCAATCCTCCAGCAGAACATCCAGATAGAATTGCCTGTAGTTACATTTCACCAAGTGAATTAGAATCTCATAACGCATTCATAAAGATTAATAAAAGTCGGAAGTCGTCAATTTATCGTACATTTTTAGCATTTTTCATTCCTTTTGCTAGTAAATCCTCAATGACAGCTACAAATATTCTTCCTCCTCTGTAATGCAAATTGGTTGCCTGACTCATAGTTCAAATTATAGAATCTCAGCACATATAGAACATTAGCATATAATTTAAATTTTCAATTTTTTCTAAAATTTATAAACTTACTGGATCAACAGCTTCAACATCACCGGTAAATGATGAACCGTCACAATACCTAACCTTGATTCTGTTCCAATTGTAGAAATCTGGATTTCGCAAATCACAACCATTGTTCAAAATTGAATTCACAAGCACAAACAATAGCTAACTTATAAGATAAGTGCTTATGCTATATCCAAACAAAATTTACCTGGATTAAACTTTTTTCCATTACTAAAAAATCCCGAAAAGGAAAGTGTTGTGTCCATTTTCTTCGACGATCCTAATCGAGTGTCCCTTTTGTCCATGCAAGTAGAGGCATTATTACACCATCCTCCTCCCTAAAAAAATTGTACTCAAGATCATTACTAGTCAAGAGAACAATTGCAAATTCATCCTATTTTTTTTGAAGTTGTTGGTTTATAAATATCAACATCTTATTTACATTAATACATAAATATAAATAAACGATGCGCCAGATATTAAACCCTAGACCAGCAATTTACACTCATTTCACTCAACTAACACATACCACGAGTTGATAATTCATCATTGATGCAAGCAAGTTTGCAAAAACGGAACATACCTCGAAGTGAACAATCCAGTTATCAATTCCACCTTCAAATCCCTTATCAAAGTGGTAAGCTGGTGGACTCCCATCCAAACAAACTGCAAAAAGATACTATTTACATCAATTTCAGAGATATCATAAATATTAATGTACTAAAAAATAGTATAAAATTCCATTATATCAGAAGTAGAAGAACTTCCTCACCAGCTCCTTTTGGTACTGCACTTTGAACATAAGTGATTGGCACAGCAACCCCTTCAGCTGATTTTAATAATAGCAGTGTGCATATTACAAGACTTAGCAAATGCTCCATTCTTGTACTCTTCATTCTGCATGATGAATATAACAAAAAGAAAAATGATAAATCTATAATTGAAAACAATAAATGCAAAGTATACCTTACTTAGGGGTAGCAATAGATCTAATCATTAATTAACACAAGATCATGATTACTAAGACAAGATCAATTATTTTGTGTTGTGATTTCAGAAATCAGTGAATCAACAAGTTCAATTTAATTATTTAGAAAAAAAAGTAGTAGATCCTTGTAAGTTTAACTGCATTTCCATGAAAAGTTGCTAAAGAAAAAAAGAAAAAAGATGATTATGTAGAAAAGAAGTGAATATGAAACTTACTAGCTAGTTGAAGCTTGAATGGAAGAAGAAGAAGAAGAATGAATGAGAAATTGAAACTGAGTTATGGCTTATAAATGCTTTCAGCTGCCGACAGTAGTTACTGCTAGCAGAGCAAAACCGAGTGAAGTACTTGCTTGTTTAGAAATGTTTTATTTTTTTTTTGTGGTTTCTAAAAACACAGTGTTCTATTATTAATAATATTTGTTTTTAATTATAATAATATATTTTTTAGCAAAAAAGATAGATAATAAATTAGAAGACAAAAAATAAAAGGACCAAACCAAAACTCCTTAGGAAATGAGGTTGACCTTTGGGGTATCAAATTTGTCTAATATAAAGTCATTGCAAATATTACTATGCATAAAATTGAACCAATGGTTAGTTTTGGACATGAAATTAATAGTGATTAACGAATTCACACAATCATTGGCTTTCCTAAATATATGAGTAATTAAAAAATTTATGTCATGAATAATAGATACACAATTCGACAATCTAAATTTTAATTTCTAAGGAACAAGACTAAAATTATGAGAGTTTTTATCACAATAGTTGAGTCGAATTCGATTCAAAGATTATTCTACTTTATCTTCCTAGCATATGCTCCACTGCAGACATGCTTGTATACAATTCAAAAAGTAAAGCGTTGTCATTGTCCAAGAAGTTTACAAAGCTTCCCAAGAGATTCGCTGCCTCACTTTTAAAGATTACACCACAAGAATAAGAAGGTGGAACACATATAACGAATTCGTCTATGCTGCATTTTATTTATTGTGAATTAGGATGTCTTAAAATAAAATATACTCGTTTTCTTTATGATAAAGAAACAGACAAATGTTAGGTTTAAGGAAATAACAAAGAGAAAAAAATAAGGATTGGTTATAACTGCTATTCTTTACTTTCTCTATAAAACAGATTACAAGTACTCAAGAATAACAAATAACCCTCTTACCCTAATTAGGTTTTGTCACACTTAAGATGAAAGACTAGTATGTTATTTATAATAAACCTAACATACTAAATTAATGGGTCTTTTAACAATTACCCATTACAAGCTAACTTAAGGTACAAGCTAACTTAAACAGTTGGATCCTTAACACAAGGCTCAATTCGACAGCTACATACTATAACACAATTTGACTACAACATGTAGGTCTTCGTCAACAGCATGTGAGCAGACTTCGACGGCATGCTAAACTAGAGCTCGATCCAATATCTCACAAATTTTCACCTTGGATCTAACTATACAACATCAAGAAACAAACTAGTTTTCTTCATGCAGCTTTATCAACTGTATACAGTGGAAAAACTTGCAACTGGGCAATATCTTGGTGATCATATCAGCAGCATTATGATTTGTCGAAACCTTCAGCACTTGGACTTTTCCACGCTTGATTACCCCTCTAACAAAATGTAGCCTCACATCAATGTTCTTGGTTTACTCATGATAGGTTGAATTCTTCGACATGTGTATTGCATTTTGACTATCACATTTAATAGTGATAACTCGACCTTGAAGTTTCAGCTCCTTTGCAAAACCTTCAAGCCACAATGCTTCCTTCACAACATCAGTTAGGGTGATATATTCCGCTTCAGTGGCTGATAAGGCAACAACCTTTTGAAGTGTTGCTTTCCAACTTATTGTTGTGCAAAACATAGTGAACACATATCCATAAATAGATTTTCTGAAATCCATACAACCTGCATAATCAGAGTTGACATATCCTTCGATTGTTGTTTTACTATCTTCACTCAAGGCTTCACCATAAATTAGGACTCTGTTTAGAGACTCATTTATGTACCTTATAATCCACTTCAATGCTTTCCAGTGAGCCTTTCCAAGATTCTCCATGTACCTGCTTACAAGACTTACTGCATATGCTATGTCGGGTCTAGTACAGACCATAACATACATCAAAGAATCCACTATATTAGAAAATGGAATGTTATTCATATAAGCTCTTTTGACATCAATAATGGGACATTGATCTATACTCAGCTTGAATTGAGGGTTTGTCAGAGTCACACCAGGCTTTGAATTCGACATTCTAAACTTTTCAAGAATCTTCTGTAGGTATGCCTCTTGAGATAAGCATAACTTTGACTGATTTCTATCTCTTTGGATGTTAATCCCAAGGATTATGGACGCAACTCCCAGATCCTTCATGTCGAACTCCTTATTGAGTTCAACCTTCACCCTCATTACATCTTCGACATTGTTGCTTGCTATTAGAATATCATCCACATAAAGAAACAAAATAACAAATGAATTACCAGGTCGAAATTTGAAGTAAACACATTGGTCGAATTGAATTCTAATGAAACTTATGCGTGCCATGAACTTGTGGAATCTCATATTCCACTGTCGAGGAGATTGTTTCAATCCATCTAAGGATCTCTTCAGCTTGCACACATAGTCTTTCTTTCTCTTTTCGACATACCCTTCGGGTTGCTTCATTAGGATTATTTCATCTAGATCACCAAACAAGAATGCGTTCTTCACATCCATTTGTTCCAATTCAAGGTCGAACTATGCCACTGTGGAAAGTAACATTTGAATGGATTTGTGCTTCATAATAGGAGAGAACACATCATTAAAGTCGACACCTTCTTTATGAGTGAAACCCATAGCGACCAACTTTGCCTTGCATCTCTTCGACGCCACTCCTTCGATTCCTTCCTTAACTTTGAAAATCCATTTACATCTGACTAACCTGGATCCAGCAGGTTTCTTGATTAGTTCCCAGGTGTTGTTATCATAAAGAGATTTCATCTCATCATCCATGGCCTTCAGCCATCCATTCTTCTTTCGACTCCTTATAACTTCCTTATAGTCTCTAGGTTATTCGTCGAGAACCTTACTTGTAGAGATTAAGGCATAAGCTATAAGATCTACAGACCTAAGTCTATGAGGTGGCTTGATGACTCTCATCGACGTGTCTCATGTTAGAAGGTAGTCATTATCAGTCTCCTCATCTTCGACAACATCTTATACATCTTCTTCGATTTCATCTAGGATACGCAATTCAGCATCAACATGTTCCACCTCAACAGGAATCTCTCCTTATTCCAGCTCTTCGTCAACATCATCTGTTTTCTTGAAGATCATCTCAGCTTCATTGAAAACTACATCTCGCCTGTTGATACACCTCCTGTGACTTGGCTCTAGGCACCATAGCCTATAAGCTTTGACTTCATCAGGGTATCCCATGAACATGCATTTCAGAGCTCTAGGTTCGACCTTGTCTTGCCTAATGTGAGCATAGGCCATGCATCCAAATACTATCAGTTTGTCAAAACTAGGTGGATATCCCGACCAACCTTCTTCAGGTGTCTTCATATCTAATGCAGTCGAAGGACATCTGTTTATCAGATATGTTACTGTCGAAATAGCCTTAGCCCAGAAAACATTCTTTAATCCAACACTAGTCAACATGAATCTAACTCTTTCCAAAATATTTCGATTAAACCATTCCGCCAAACCATTTTGTTATGGAGTACCTGCAGTAGTTTTATGCCTTGCAATACCTGAGGCAGCACAAAAATTGTCGAACGCCTCATTGCAAAATTTAAGACCATTGTCTATTCTCAACCTCTTGACCTTTCTGCCAGTTTGATTTTTGATCAGAGTCCTTCAACCTTTGAAATTCTCAAAAGTTTCATTCTTAGTCTTCTAGATGAATACCCATAACTTTCTGGAATAGTCATCGATTATGGATAGAAAATACCTTACTCTTGAATGTGATGGACACCTTGCATGCCCCCAAAGATCAACATGGATGTAATTAAGGGATCTATGAGTTCTTTGTTTGCCTTTATTGAACTTCACTCTGCAAGATTTTCAAAGTACACAGGGTTCATAAAATTTCAGCTTTTCAAATCTGTCTCCTCCAAGCAGATTTTGCTTCCCCAATTCGAGCAGATCCCTTTCACTGACATGGCTCAATCTCATGTGCCAAATTTTTGTCTTCGACAAAGGTTTCATGGATGCAACATTTGTCGAACCACTTACAAATTTAGCCTCAAGGGTATACAAGCCTTATTTCTTCATGCCTCTCAAGACTTCCTTCAACCCCTTCATGACTCTTAGGATACTTTTCTATCCTTGAAAAACATATCCCTTCTTGTCGAGTTCACCAAGAGAAATCAAATTTCTCTTCAAATCTTGTTCATACCTAACTTCAGTCAATAACCTTATTGACTCATCATGGAGCTTGAATCCCACAAATCCAATACCTGCAATTTTGCAAGCTTTGTTGTTTCCCAGCAACACTGATCCACAATCTTGATCACATAACTCCTTGAACAGTTCTCTATTTGGAGTCATGTGGCAAGTGCAACCTGAATCCATAGTCCACTCTTTTCTTGATTCGCCACTTGAAACCACAAGAACATCTGATGATTCGAAGTCAACTTGAACAATGGTCGCGTTGCCATTATCCTTACCTTCATGATCTTTCAGGCATTTAAGGCACACCTTTATTGTGTAACCCTTCTTTTTACAGTGATAGCACCGACTACCAGATGCTTCGCCACTATAAGACCTCCATTGACTTTTACCTTTCTTCTTGTCAAACTTACCATTCTTTCGCAAGAATTTTCTCTTTACGGTCAAAACTTCACCCACCGTCGAAGGTTTATACTCCTTTCGTTCGTTCAGGTCCTTATTATCGCTACGCGAAAAATGACACAG